GGCCATCTTAGGCCGCCTTGGGTGCATCTTGGGCCGTCTTGGATGCATCTTGGGGCCATTTTAGCAGTCTTGGAGGCCATCGTGGCCGTCTCGGATGCCTCTTGGGTCCCTCTTGGGGCCGTCTTGGGGGCCTCTTAGGCCGTCATGAGGCCATCTTGGAGGCCTCGTGGGCGGTCTTGGGGCGATCTTGGGGGCAGCTTTGGCCGTCTTGCGCCGTCGGAGTGCCGAAAAAGAGCAACTGCCAAAATACCTCAAGCACCTTAGGACAAACAATGAGTTTGCTCTCTTCGGGTCCTCCTGGAAGACCTCTTGGAGGCCTCTTGGGCCGTCTTGAAGGCCTCTTGGGAGCCGCCTTGGGCCATCTTAGGCTGTTTTGAGTGATCTTTGGCCGTCTTGGAGGCACTTTGGGGCCATCTGAGCCGGCTTGGAGGCCATCTTGACCGTCTTGGAGGCCACTTGGGGCCATCTTTGGGCCGTCTTGGGAGCCTGTTGGGCGGTCATGGGGCCATCTTGAAGGCATCGTGGGTGATTTTGGAACGATCTTGGGGGCCTCTTGAGCCGTCGGAATGCCGAGAAGAAGCAAATTCCAAAATCTTTCAGAAACCATTAAGACAAATAATAACTATGGCCTCTCCGGGACCTCCTCGAGAACCTCTTGGAGGCCTCTTGGGCCGTCTTGGAGGCTTCTTGGGCCGTCTTGGAGGCATCTTGGACCCTCTTGGACCGTCTTAGAACCATCTTGGGCTATCTTAGGCGAACCTGGAGGCCACCTTGGGCCATCTTGCCTGTCTGGGAGGCATCCTTGAGCTCATTTGGGGCCATATTGGGCATGAAGTGCGTTGACATGTGCAGTCTGGGCTCTCTTCGGGTGGCCGGCGTGGCGGGCCGAAGCCCCAGTGAGTTTCCCAAAAGAACCAAAGCCGTCCAGGATCTAACACGCAAGGCACCCCTGTGATGAATCAACGGGGCGGCGGATCCTAGTGGCCCTCGGCCCAGCCCGCCAGCGTGTCTGTGTCGTGGGTCTGAGGGATATTCCCTTTTCTATATTTTTACAATCCGGGGGGGTGGGAAAACCCCCCCCCCCGAAAATCGGACCCCCGGGATCTGGCGCTTTTCGGGCCCCCTGGACGCCTTGCAAGGGGTCCCCCAGGCCTTCCGGGCCTCCTGGACGCCCCTGCGGGGCCTTGCCAGCGGGCCCAAAGCGGTCAGGAGGGCGGCCACACGGCCCCGCGAGAGCCCCACGCGGCCCCAGACAGCCCCAAGACGCCCGAAGACGACCCAAAGAAAACCCCCAAGAGGTCCTCCAAGTGCAAAAAAAACAACACTTTCCTTTCCTTTCCTTTTTTTTGCCTTTAAAAAAAAAGAAGGAATTTTTGGACATTCGGTTCTTCGGTATTCCGTGCGTCCGAGTCCGCCGAAGAGGCCCCAAAAATCCTCCCACAACGGTGTCAAAGGGCTTCCAGACAGTCCAAAAGAGCCCCAATATGGTCCAACAGGGCCGCAAGATGGCCCCAAGAGAGCCCCGCTGACAGCCCCAGATGGCCCCAAGACGCCTCCCGAAGCACTCCAAATCGTGACCCGGTCGTTCAGGGAGACCGTGGTTGGTAGCAAGGTGGCCGCAAGAAGCCCCCAGAGGCCCCCAAAAGGCGCCCAGGAGGCCCCCAGAGGTCCCCAAAAAGCTTTTGAGAGGGGCCCAGGAACACCTCCAAAGAGGAGCCCCTGCAATAAAAACTGGGGATGAGGACAAGGAGTGGCTCGCAGACAAGGAAGATTACGAGTAAGAGGAGAGGAAGTATAAGGATAGTACATAACATTACTATAACGACGATGGCGCAAACGGCAACAATGAATCATCGCTATATTTGGCTCTCCTGCATGCCGAGCTTCAAGAACCAAGGTGCATGGCGCGAAGCGCCAATGCAGTCTTGTATATATATATATATATATATATATATATATGTAGATCTGTGTTGGGGTGTCGTGGGGAGCCTCTCGGGGCCCCTTGGAGGCGGTTCCGACGAGAATCCCAAACTCCTTGAATAACCGTTGTAACATCGACGATGTTGGTCTTTTGGGCTCCATCGGGCGGCCTCTTGGAGCGCTCTTGGGGCCTCTTGGGGCCCTCTTGGGCCCTCGTGGAACCATTTTCGGGCGCCTTGGAAAATTCGTGGCCTCGGAAATGCGAATATGGCGTCATTTTGCGAGGTTGTATGGCCTCGGGGACACGAACATTCAATCCTTTATAAGGGTCTGTTGCCCCGGGAACGCAAGAATTCATCAATTTGCCAGGATTTGCGGCCTCTGGCTTCGGTGACGCGATTACTCCAAACATTTTTGAGGGTTTGCGGCCTCGTGGTCGCGAGTATTGTGAATTTGCTAAGGATTCCGGTTTCGTGGACGCGAACATGGATTGATTTACAATGGTTTTTTGCCTTGGGGACGCATGGGTTCAAACATTGACCAGGGTTTGTTGCCTTGGGGGCGCAAAAAAATCCATAAT